TCATTCTGTAAGACTGCTTTTATTTATTTTTTTAAAGATTTTATTTATTTATTTGACAGAGAGAGACACAGTGAGAGAGGGAACACAAGCAGGGGGAGTGGGAGAGGGCGAAGCAGGCTTCCCACAGAGCAGAGAGCCCAATGTGGGGCTCGATCCCAGGACACCTGGATCATGACCTGAGCCGAAGGCAGATGCTTAACGACTGAGCCACCCAGGCGCCCCTGTAAGACTGCTTTTAGACAACAGGCTTCAGCAACAGAAACTTGATCAAGGCAAAAGGGCCCACAGCGACCACCTACCTAAATACAGGCAGGCCCATCAGGCAACCCCCCTCAAAATATCCATAGGCCCTAACTGACCAATGGGCTACTTACAACCAGGAACAGTTACCAAAAAAGTGAAAATTCCCTACGTCCCCATATGTCCTCACCTTCCTGCTTTAAATATAGCCCCCACTCACTGCCTCCTTGCAGTCTGCTTTGCTGTCCTGCAGCAAAGGTGTATTCAATAAATCTCTATCATCATCATCATCATTTTATTTATTTATTTATTTGCTTATTTATTTATTTATTTTGAGAGAGAGTACGTGCATGAGGCGGGGCAGGGAGAAGAGGGAGAGAGAGAATCTTAAGCAGGCTCCACATCCAGCACAGAGCCTGACCCGGTGTTGATCTCAGGACCCTGAGATGAAATCAAGAGTCAGAAGCTTAACCGACTGAGCCACCTAGGCACCCCACTTACATTATTTTTTTATGTATTCAATAAATTTCTATCTCCTTTGTTCTGCCTTGTATGAATCCTTTCACCGCCCATGCCACTGGCGCCCACCTAATCAGGATGCCCCACATTTGGGGGGCCCCCATCCAATCGAGACAGACATCACATAGGAATTTAAGAATCCAAAATAGATACTCATTGTTAAAAAAATAATGTAAGTGGGTGCCTACATGGCTCAGTTGGTTAAGCTTCTGACTCTTGATTTCATCTCAGGGTCCTGAGATCAACACTGGGTCAGGCTCTGTGCTGGGTGTGGAGCCTGCTTAAGATTCTCTCTCTCCCTCTTTCCCTGCCCCACCTCATACACATACTCTCTCTCTCTCTCAAAACAAAATAAATAAATAAAAAATGATGATGATGATGATGATGATAATAATAATATAAGTGGGGGCACTGGGTGGCTCAGTCAGTTAAATGTCCGCCTCTTGATCTCAGCTCAGGTTTGGATCTCAAGGTCGTGAGTTCAAGCCCTGCACTGGACTCCGTACTGGGCATAGAGCCTACTTCTAAAAAATAAATAAATAAACAAATAATAATAGTAATAAGTGAACCTTTATTTAAAAATTTTTTAACTTCATTTTTAATTAGTGATTAGGCTTCAAGTCATCATCAGTGTTAAATAAATAATTACTTAAAATATTTGTCAAGGAAAGATGCAAATAATCTTAGTACCAACCAAATAGAAGTGATTGGGGAATATTAGAAGGCTATTTCTTGTTTTTATTGAATGTTTTCAAAACCTTAAGAAACCCTATACTAGGCGCCTGGGTGGCTCAGTCGTTAAGCGTCTGCCTTCGGCTGAGGTCATGGTCCCAGGGTCCTGGGATCGAGCCCCACATCGGGCTCTCCCCTCAGCGGGAGGCCTGCTTCTCCCTCTCCCACTCTTCCTGCTTGTGTTCCCTCTCTCGCTGTTTCTCTGTCAAATAAATAAAATCTTTAAAAAAAAAAAAAGAAAGAAACCCTATACTATATCATTATTATTTTTGCTGGAAAGTTTTACAAATATTGTGATGCAAATGGTTTATCCCGGAATTATCTATGCCTGACAATTCAATCTATTGGAAAAATACCTCTCAGGCCACCACACCTATGAAAAGCAAGCTAAGAAACAGAAAGTATGCACACAAAGGCCTCCAAACACTCAAAATTTGTATTAATACACTACACTGTGCTAAAGAATCCCTCAGGTACTTGCCCTTATTTCACACAAAATTTTATGAGTTTATGTATCTTAAAAAAAAAAAAAGAAGCTGCTTATGTGCCTTGATTCAAAGCCCACAACAGTTCAAAGGCAGAGAGAAGAAAGACACAGAGGTTACAAAATTACAAAAAATAGACCAAGAACAAACAAATCCTCTTGAATGGGTAAAAGGAAAATGCCTTTCACACCCAGGTAAATTCTTGAGGCATGGTGCCTTCAAAACAAAATAATTTATACTCAAAATTTAAGAAATGATAATATTATACAAATTCAAGATCTTTTGCTTAAGAAGACAAGGATACATGTAATCTGTTGCAAAAGGACTGTCATCAAAAAAGGGTTTTTGTTTTTTTAATTCACCCTTGAAAAAAAATCTTTAACTTTGAAAACAATAATCCAGAACTTCTCATCCTGAAGGGTTCATAACAGCTGAAGATCTGAGACCAGAACAGAATCAAGTTTCTATGAGTAGATGATCACTAACAATTTAACTTTTATCTTCTTGATATACATATTATACATATTGTCAAAGTTTTAAATCTTTTACACATAAAGTGATTTTATTTGATCCAGATGCACTGTCTTACCTAATATGTTAGCTCGTTAACTTTTTTACTATTCTAAAAACCACCTCTCTCTGTTAATGCACAAAATCAATTCATTTTCATGAAGAAAAACTAAACATTATAAGAAAAATAATCATGATATCTCATGAGCACTTCCTTCTTAAACTATTTTCAGTGCCTGTATATAAATATACTTTATATACATATGGGGTACCTGGGTGGCTCAGTCTGTTAAGCGTCTGCCTTCAGCTCCAGTCATGATCTCAGGGTTCTGGGATCGAGCCCCACGTCGGGCTCCCTGCTCCGCGTGGAGCCTGCTTCTCCCTCTCCCTCTGCTGCTCCCCCCTGCTTGTGCACTCTCTCAAATAAATAAAAAATCTTAAAAAAATAATTAAAAATACATATATACTTTATATACATATTTTTCCCCACAAAACTGGGATCACACTTTACATGCTGCTTCTTAATCTGTCCTTTAACACAAATATCTTTGCATGTTGTTATTACTTTCCTGCAGGTTCTAACAATAGGTGTGTTAGGCAAGTTAATCTCTTTGAACCTCACTCCATCTATAAGAGTATCTACCTCTTTGGTGTATGTAAGAATTAAATAAAATGATCCGTGTAAAATACAAAGCAAAATGCCTCTCACATAGTAAGAGCCCAATAAATGTTGGTTTTTAAGGCTGCATAATAACCAACTATCTTAACCTGTTAATCAATTTTCTATTTTTAGCCAGCTTTTACCTATTAAAACAACACTGAAATAAAAATCCATGAAGTTAAATCTTTAACACATCCTAAACTGTTTTTTAAAGGCTTTATTTATTTGAGAGAGAGAGTGGGAGGGAGAGAGAGAGAGAGAGAGAGAACGAGCAGGGGGTAGGGGCAGAAGGAAAGAGAAAAGCAGACTCCCCGCTGAGCAGGGAGCCCTATGCCCCACTGGAACCCAGGACCCTGGGATTATGACCTGAGCCGAAGGCACACACTTAACCAACTGAGACACCCAGGCACCCCATCCTAAACTTTCTTAGAATAAATTTCTAGAGGTGGAATCTTGGACCAATGATTCTTTATACATTCCCAAATATAACTGTTTCATATTCGCCAACATGGTGTTTCCCCACATTCCTCATCTCTACCTCACTCCTAAGTTTTTTGTTTCTTAAATAAATGTGTTTTGTAAAGTTAGAAAAGCTGGCAGTAAATAGTATGAAAAGTAAGGTATTTACTATCTAAATTTTAATCATTATTTACATTTTACTTAGAACAAACTTTCAGTGTCATATTCCAGTGTATTTCAAGCAGTTTTACTCTACATGAGCTTTAGCTTTTAAGAGAACAACTTCAATTTATAGTTGACAGTTGTTCTAATGCAATAGCTGATTTAATAGTTGTTGGTTGCTTAACAGTTGTTTAAAAGCTGTATAAGAAAAACGTATTTTTAAAATTACTTTTAAATGTCTCCAAATTCATTAAAACTCAGCCTTTCTTACAGAAACTAAAATTTGAGAGAGGGAGAATTGCTCAATCTGTTGAGACTGAGAAAGGCTGGGAAGAAATTTAGCAGAAGCCCTCATCTTTGCTCAAGAGACAAGGGCTGCGAGCACCAAAACACACATTCTCATTGGTGTCTAGGAGACTGTTCTTTAAATTAACACTGCTAACACGCCCCCTTTTTCCTAGAAACTGTCATTTCCTGAAGCAACAGCATTCATGAAAAAAACTGAACAAGACTCTTGAAGAAGCAGAAGCCCGGCTGGCGTTAGGCCGAAACCCGGCCTGGCCTCAGAATGTCTGTCCCTACGGCCCGTCCGGGATCAACCAAGTTATGCGAAGTGACTAACTCGTGACAGCCTCAGGCGTTGGACGCCGGCCACACTGCCACCTCTTTCAGGTCCAACGCTCCGGCAGGCAGCCTGGTCTGGAATGGCTCGACCCTCGGCCCACACCTCTGGACCACGGTTTGACATTAGACCCCCGTAACGGGTCGGGAGTCTAGAGGGATCCAGACCCCTCCGTACTCAGTCTCGGGTCATGATGGGAGAGGGAACTTCAGACAAGTCAGATATTACAAGGGACCCAGGTTTTCCCATCCCGCCCCCACTCCTGAGTTGGGGTCTCGGATGGGTGGGGGAACCTTCGATAGGGTCAAAAGTCACGCAAGATCGGAGCCCTTCTAGCTTATTCTCAGGCCAGGGTCTTGCGCTGGGGGAAAACTAGAGGTCAGACGTCCCGAGGGATCCGGCCACCCCCTCCCACTCTCCTGCATGGAGTTTGGGGTTGGGGCCCCAGGTCCCCAGTACAGAGGACCCGGGCCGCCCTGGACTCATTCCCAGTCCAGAGTTTGGGGGAGATTCTCAGGTCAAGGGTCACGGAAGAACCTTTCCTCCTCCTGGCCCCCCGAAGCTGTGTCAAGGGGTGTCGGGAACTAGACGAGAGCAGCGGCCATAGTACCTGAGTCGAGGCCAGCGCCTGCTGGAGCTGCTGTTGCTCCTCGCTGATCTTTTGCTTCAGTTTCTTGAACATGGTGCAGCGCGGGGTCCTGAGTGTGAGACCTGAGGGGCGAGCGCCCAGGGAGACCCGGCCGCGGCGGCGACGGCGGCCTCTCTATACCAGGGACAGTAGGGGCCGGGCCTCACCGCCTCCTCCTTGGGCTCGCGGGCGGATCGAGACACTCGTCCTGCGGGTGTCGACGTCGCCGCCGCCGCGTCTCTTTCTTCTGGGTGCCACTGGCTGGCCTATGCCCCCCATCCAGCCCCGGCAGCGGCGGCGGCGGCGACAACGGCAGCAGGTGAACGGTGTGCCAAAGACGCCTGCGCGGCCTACGTGGAGCTCGCCAAGGGAGCTCTACGGAGCGCCGGAGGGGCCAAGCACGAAGTCGCGCCGGCACATGCGCGCTCGGGGTGTCGCTCCCGAACGCGACACCCGCGAGTAATACGCGGTGTCCCGCACTGCTCCAGTTCATTCCTTGCGGAGCTGCCCTCCGAGTTGGGGCGAGGGCTGGTCTGAGCGCCGCAGTGACGCACACCCGCACTTCGGCACTGCAGAGTCCTGGGGGAGGGTGCTGCTTCTATTAAGGACGGCCCGGTGGACTGGCCCACGGTGAAGAGCGGCGTGTGTGAGCGCCTGGGCTGGGAGAAGGCGGGTATCCAGGGAACCTGCTTTGCGCTCTGAAGGATAGTGTACTTTTTGTTCAGTATTTGTAGTTAGAGTCTGCATCTTCAGTGCCTGGTACTCCTACTGCTCCCCAGAGGGACCGTCTTTCCTTCCCTGGACTTTTCCAGAGGTCTCAAGAAGTACCTGACACAGACTCCCAGGGTCCAAACGTTTCAGGACGATATTGTAAAATCTCAACCGTTTGGACATCTGCCTGTATTTTTTATTTAACCGAAATCGTATATTTTCACGTATTCATTCCAAAATCCTTATTAAAGTGCCAAGTCCTTGGGGATGTTAAAAGAATTCACAGCTGAGGGAATGCAGAAATTTCCAAAGGGGTCCAAGCATCCGCATCTGCAATCATCCTAGAGAGTTTAATGTTTATGTGCTTAATTCTTCCAACACCCTTAACTTGGGCCATCTGTGAACCCCCATATCCATCTCAGCAACTACCTCTGCATGCTATACCAAATTGCTTCACATTGCCTCGTGTATCAGAACCTGAGAGAATATATGCTGATCTTCACATTTTAGCAAATTTTATTTATTAGCAAGTTCCTCTGTAAGATTCCATAGCTTGATCCCTAGATGTAGTAGAGCCAGAACAGGGCCTAGTCTGAACACTGCATTGACAGCTGGGCCAAGTCCTCTCTTATCTCATAGTGAACACCTACATATTCACCAAGAAAGTAGTAGCACTGTGACCTTTGGCCACATAGTACAAAGTCAAATGCCTGAAGGGAGCAGAAAGATTATGAGTGACACACATATGGTATAAGACAATGGAGAATGAGGGAAAGTAACAAACTGGGTAGTACAAACTTATCCAGAGGTATTTTTAAATCACTGCAGCAAAATAGCTCTTAGAATAAAATTCAGCCCAAAGGCCAGATTGTGACCTCTGAGTCTCAATTCTCTGCCCCTCGTTTTCCTCATCTATAACATTTTAATAATATTTCATCGGAATGTTGCGAAGTTTGATGTGTCTAGAGTATAGTTCATAGTAAATGATACTTAAAAATTCTAAGAGTTTCATTCTCTTCTTCTAACACTCTCCCTTTCTGTGTTGAGAGCGCTAGCCTAGACCCTCTCCCCTGAGCTCCAGATCATACCATCTTCATTAGGCTGTCAGGTTCGGGAGGGCAAAAACCATGGCTATTATACAACTCAACCAGTGCCTACTACAGGGCCTGACACTAAATTTCTACAGAATTACTTAGTCTTAATACAGCCAGCTGCCTACTGAACAGTTTCTCTTAATAGTGCATAGGCCCCTCAATTCAACTTGTCTGAAACTGATATCATCTCCTACTACATCCCCTACCATCACCATCCAGATTTGCCCCTTCTACATTTCTTCTCGCCCTCTTGCATCTTCTCCTCTTCACAAGCTTGCTTTGCCATCTGTATTTTCTGCCTTTGCTGGTGTCATCTCCATCTGCCCAGTTACCCAAGTGAAAACTGCTGAAGTTAGTCAAAACATTCCTCTCATTCTTCACCCATATCCAGCAAATCACCAAGCCCTCTGTCTTTTACTCTGAAATATTTCTCAAATCCATTCTCTTTCCTATTCACCCTGCCACTAGCTGGTTTCAATCTTCATTACATCTCACTGCTTAAATGATCTCCCAGTTTCCAGATTGGCTTCTCTCCAATCAATCTTCTATATAGCTGATGTTACTGTCCTGCCAAAACCCCATCAGTGACCTCCTTGTTCTGCAGGACACCATTCAAATTCCCAAGGAGTACAAGAAACCCTTAGCAGCCTGGCTCCTGCTTTCTCTCTCACTACCCCCTTTCCATACTTCACACTTGAGACCTCCAGAAATTTCAAATTGACTTGTGGTTCCCTTGCACATCCAGCTTTTGTATACCTCCTTACCTTTCTTTTTTTAGTCCCCAGGTTATATATAGTAGCTTTGAACACCTTAATGAATCTAGTTTACTTATTATCCTCCATGACTTTGTACATTTCTTCTTTTCCCACCTTTCTTATCTATCCTTGATAATGCTGCCCACATGTCATCTTCCCTTTCAAGCATTTCCTAACACCATCCCTAAAACCACACACACGTCAGTGGACTTAATCATGCTCCCCTCTCTACAACTTCAATCTTACAAGCTTTAGTGTATGTATCACACTGTATTTTTATCTTTTCTTACAAGAGTAACATACACTCACTGTAACAAAAACAAAAGTACAGTCGACTGTTGAACAACACAGATTTGAACTGCACAGGTGAAATTATACATGGATTTTGTTTTCAGTAAATACAATACAGTACTGTAAATGTATTTTCCTTATGATTTCTTTTCTCTTTGCTTTATTGTATGAATACAGTCTATAATACATATAACATACAAAATACATGTTAGTCGACTGTTTAATAAGGCTTTTGGTCAACAGTAGGCCAGTCATTATTGGTTAAGTTTTGGGGGAGACAAAAGTTACACACAGATTTTTCAACTATGCGGGAGGTTGGTGCCCCTAACCCCCGCATTGTTCAAGGATCAACTGTATGATCTTATCCCCCCAAAAAACCCCTACTAATAATTTAGTTGTATTCTTTCCATTTTGTTTCTGTATTAATGAAAATATAGAGATGTGTAAATGTAATTATGTATTTGTGGTTTTATTTTATTTAATTTTATTCATTTTGCTTTTCTCAATTAACACGCCATGAATATCATTTCTAATCAGTACCTGTATTTCAGTCCATTTAATGACTGCATAGTATTTTATACTATAGATAAAGTATTTATGATTTGATGTATCGGTTTCCATGTTAATGGATATTTCACTTCTCCCCAGTTTTTGCTATTAAACAATATTAAAGTGAACAACTTTATAAATATGTTTGTGTACTTTTGTGTACGTTTCTGTGGAAAATAATGGATTCCCAGAAAGGTAATTGAAGAATCCATTCATTATGTACAGTTAATGCCAACTTGATCTCCAAAATGAATACCAATTTTTCTTTTTTTATTTTTTTAAAGATTTTATTTATTTATTTGAAAGAGAGAGAGTGAAAGACAGAACACGAGCAGAGGGGAGGGGCAGAGGGAGAGGGAGAAGCAGACTCCGCACTAAGCAGGGAGCCTGATGCGGGGCTTGATCCTAGGACCCTGGGATCATGACCTGAACCGAAGGCAGACACTTAACCGACTGAGCCACCCAGGTGCCCAATACCAATTTATGTTTCTATCCACAGTGGAAATGCCCAGTTCCATTTTTTTTAAGATTTTATTTATTGGACAAAGAGAGAGCACACAAGCAGGGGGGAGGGGCAAAGGGAGAGGGAGAAGCAGACTCCCAACTGAGCAGGGAACCTGATGGCAGGGCTCGACCTCAGGACCCTGGGATCAGGGCCTGAGCCAAAGGCAGACACTTAACTGACTGAGCTACCCAGGCACCCCCCCCATTTCCATATTTTAAAAAAGTTTTGACAACAAAAAGATAACAAATGGTATTTTGATTTCCATTTAATTATAAGCAAAGTTAAAATTCAGTCACAAGTATATGTTATTATAGATCTCTCAGGTTATATTATAAAATTCATGCAACCCAGATAATAGCTTTTCCTTTTCCCCTAAGGGACAACTCCCTCTAAGTAAATTTGGGGAAATAGAGTGTTCCTTGATCTTCCAAGGTTCTTCTTAAAGTCTCTCCTAAATCCCCATTCCACCATGAGAATGCTCTTCATTTGTTATTGTTATTGGTCTCAGTCTGGAAATCATGAATGCAGTCTCCCTGGGTACCTTGATGCTATACCTCTAAGGGACTTTGTAGGATGAGAATCAGGAGGGAGGAGAAAAACAAGTTGCATTTGGAGGAGATATCAAATATCCTTATGGATCCAGCTCTCATTTCCTTCCATTACAGCCCTACTCAAGACATGCAGACTTAGAAGGGGTGCCTGGGTGGCTCAGTTGGTTAAGCGTCTGCCTTTGGCTCAGGTCATGATCCTGGAGTCCCAGGATCAAGTTCCACATCAGGCTCTCTGCTCAGCGGGAGTCTGCTTCTCCCTCTGACCCTCCCCACTCTCATGCTTTCTCTCTCTCACACTTTCTCTCTCAAATAAATGAATAAAATCTTAAAAAAAAAAAGACATGCAGACTTACCAAATGCATTAGCAGACTGGAAAACACTAAAGGAATTATGGCATATTAAAGGAAGAAATTTAAACTATATGCTAAATAGGGGGTGGGGGATTGGGCAAAATAGATGAAGGGGAGTGGGAGATACAGACTTCCAGTTATGGAGTGAGTACGTCATGGGAATAAAAGGCACAGCATAAGGAACCCAGTCAATGATACTGTAATAGCGATATAATGGGACAGATGGTAACTACACTTGTGCTAAACGTATATAACATATAAATTTGTCAAATCACCAAGTTGTACACCTAAAACTAATGTAACGCTGTATGTCAACTATATTCAAATGAAAACAAAAAAACTATATGCTAAATACAACTTTTCCCACAGTTTAAGGAAAAAAAAAAACCTCTTCAAAAGTTATAATCTTGGGGTGCCTGGCTGGCTCAGTCAGACAAGTGTGTGACTCTTGATCTCAGGGTTGTGAGTTTGAGCTCCATGTTGAGTGTAGTGATTACTTTGAAAAAGAAAAAAGAAACATTTTTTTAAAAAGTTATATCCTATCAAGGATATAACTCGAAATTATCCATTCCCAGATCTTAATCTTATTCCCTTATCTCTGTCCATAAGGACCACTCTGCTGGAGCATCCTCTTCTAGCTTCTACACTGCAAATCTCTACTAATCTTTAGGAAAACTTTTACCTTTACCCACAGAAGTTGACCCATGCTGCTTCAACATCTGGGCAATCTTGGAGACTCTGTATTCCTTAACTCTACATTTATCCTACTCTGAGCTCTTCAGACTAAAATAATACCACATGGGAAGGGGACTGAGCTTCCAGTAGTAGATTCCATGGTAGACTGTGGCACTCCAGCCCATCCTCTTCAAAGTGTCCCTTGAGAATTGAAAGTATGCCACTTTATTCTTCTCAACAGCATGGAAGACCTTAAAAAGCAGCCAGAAAAAATAAAAGACATGTTATATGCAGAAAACAAAAATGACTTCATGGAACAGCATCTTTAAAATGCTGAAACACACTAAAAAGTGCAGAGAAAGCATTTATCTATAGCAAAAGCAAACAAAGACATTTTCTGAAAAAGAACAGCTGAGAAAATTCTTTACCAGCAACTTGTACTATAAGAAGTGCTCAAGAAATTATACCAGATGGATATACAAGAGGGAAGGAAGAGCTCCCAAATATGCAGATAAATGTGAAAGACTATTTTTTTCTCCTCTCTTAATTTCTTTAAAATCAAATTGACTGTTGGGGCACCTGAGTGGCTCAGTCAGTTGAGCGTCCAACTCGATTTCAATTTAGGTCATGATTTCAGTCAGGGTCGTGGGATTGAGGCCTAGGTTGGACACTACACTCAGCACAGAGTCGGCTTGGGATTCTCTCTCTCCCCCTTCTCTGCACTTCTCCCTGCTTGCATGTTCTCTCTCTCTCTCTCTGAAATAAATAAATAAAATCTTTTGGGGCGCCTGGGTGGCTCAGTCATTAAGCGTCTGCCTTCAGCTCAGGTCATGATCCCAGGGTCCTGGGATCGAGCCCCGCATCGGGCTCTCTGCTCGGCAGGAAGCCTGCTTCTCCCTCTCCCACTCCCCCTGCTTGTGTTCCCTCTCTCACTGTGTCTCTCTCTGTCAAATAAATAAAATCTTAAAAAATAAATAAATAAAATCTTTTTTAAAAAAATCAAATTGACTGCTTAAAACAAAAATCATGACCATAAATTGTGGAGTTTTTAACATACAAAGAAGTAAAATCTATGATAATAATAGCACAAAGGATAAAGAGTTGATAAATGGAAGTATACTGCTGTAAAGTTCTCACATTATATATGTAGTACAACATTAATTCAATTTGGACTGTGATAAGTTAAGGATGCATATTATAATACCTAGAACAACCATTAAAAAAAGAAACAATAAAGCAGAAGATTTAACTTAAAGTCCCATTAGAAGATATAAATTACAATCCTAAAAACTCAAGTTATCAAAAGGAAGACAACAATGAAAAGAAAAGGGAACAAAGAACTAATGTGACTAATAGAAAACAAGGAGCAAGACGGTAGACTTAAACTCAATCATATCAAAATTACATTCAACATAAATTGATTAAATACTCTGGTGAAAAGGCAGAGATGGTCATGATGAATGGAAAAACAAGATCCAACTATACGTTGTTTTTAAGGCATGTGATTTCAATATAAAGACACAGATAAGTTAATAAAAACATGGAAAAGAACATACTGTATATCACACATCAAGATCCCCTGGTAACAGACTCTGAGATTTACTTACAAGAGATTTGTTAGAACCTGTTAGAGGGGAAAAGGGTGGAGGTGGGGGACAATACATACAGGTGTGAGCCATCACCATCTGTAGCCACACTATTAGCTGCTGGTGAAATTAATGCCTCAGTTCTTTTTTTTTTAAGGATTTTATTTATTTATTTATTTGACAGAGAGCTAGAGAGAGAGCACAAGTAGGCAGAGAGGCAGGCAGAGAGAGAGGGAGAAGCAGGTTCTCTGCTGAGCAGGGAGCCTGATGTGGGACTTGATCCCAGGACTCCAGGATCATGACTTGAGCCAAAGGCAGCTGCTTAACCAACTGAGCCACCTAGGCACCCCAATGCCTCAGTTCTGAAAGCACATCTGAACAATGCACCAGAGAATCCAATATACTATGCAAAACTGAATCATAGGAAAGCTGTATGACTATATTAATATCAAATAAAATAGACTTCAAGACAAGGAGTATTACAAAAATAAAGAACTTTTTAAAAGATCTTATTTATTCGAGAGAGGGAGGGGGAGGAGCAGAGGGAGAAAGAATCTGAAGCAGAATCCACGCTGAGTGCGGAGCCAGATGCGGCACTTGATCTCACAACTTTGAGATCTTGACCTGAGCCAAAACCAAGAGCTGGACGCTTAACCCACTCAGCCATCCAGGTGCCCCTAAGGAACATTTCAAAATAACAAAAAGATTTCATCTTTTTGATGAAACAATTCATCAAGAAGACATAATCCTAAATACGTATCTACATAATAACATAGCTTCAAAATCATGAAGCAAAAAGTGACTGAAATGAAAGGACAATTACAGTTGGAGATTTTAAGATACCTCTCTTAGTCTTTGATAAAACAAGTAGACGAAAAAGTAGGTAAGGATATAGAGAATCTGGGTCAGCTAACTCTGCCTAATTGATCTTTTTGGAAAACTACTACCAACAACTGCAGAATACACATTCTTTTTTGAGTACACATGGAACATTCACCAAGATAGAAAATATGCTAATTCATAATACAAGTCTCAATAAATTTCAAAGGATTAATATCATACAGCATATTCTCTGACCACAAAGGAATTAAATTAGAAATCAATAACAAAAAGATATCTAGAAAATTCCCAAATATTTTGAAATTAGGCAGCTAACTTCCAAATAAGTGATGGGTCAAAGAACAAAACTCAAGGGAAATCAGAAAATGTTTTAAATGAATGAAAATGAAAATATCAAAATTTGTGAGGTGCAGCTAAAGCAGTGCTTAGAAGGATTTATAGTATTGCATGTTTATATTAGAAAAGGAAAAGATTAAAAATAAATAATCTAATACTCCAACTTAAGAAGTTAGAAAAAAGGGGTGCTGGGTGGCTCAGCCATTAAGTATCTGCCTTCAGCTCAGGTCATGATCCCAGGGTCCTGGGATCAAGCCCCACATCGGGCTCCCTGCTCAGCAGGAGGCCTGCTTCTCCCTCTCCCACTCCCCCTGCTTGTGTTCCCTCTCTCACTGTCTCTCTCTCTCTGTCAAATAAATAAATAAAATCTTTTTTTTATTTTTTTAAAGATTTTATTTATTTATTTGAGAGAGAGAGAATGAGAGATAGAGAGCACGAGAGGGAAGAGGGTCAGAGGGAGAAGCCGACTCCCTGCTGAGCAGGGAGCCCAATGTGGGACTCGATCCCGGCACTCCAGGATCATGACCTGAGCCGAAGGCAGTCGCTTAACCAACTGAGCCACCCAGGCGCCCAAATAAATAAAATCTTAAAGAAAAAAAGAAGTTAGAAAAAAGAGAAGAAAATTAAAACCAAAGTAGAAGGCATTAAACAATAAAGATAAGAGCAAAAATCAGTGAAATAGAAAACAGAGAAATAGAGAAAAACCAACAAAGCTAAAATTTGGTTCTTAGAAAAGATTAATAACATTGATAAGCCCCTAGTAAGACTCATTGAGAGAAAGAAAAACACTAATTATCAGTATCAGGAATCAAAGAGAGGCTATCACCACAGATTCTACAGATAGTACCAGAGAGTACCACGAAGAGGCTTAGGCCAACAAATTCAACAATGTAGAAAAAGGGACATATTCCTTGAAAGACACAAATTATCAAAACTCTGATGTTTCTCAGCCAGTGAATGGATAAATAAATTGTGGTACATCCATACCATGCAATACTAGTCTAAAATACAAAGAACCAATTGTTGATACCCACAACAACCTGAGTGGATCTCAAGCAAGTTTTGCTAAGCAAAAGAAGTCAGATTCAAATGAAGCCATACATATATATGATTCCATTTCTATGACATTTTGGAAAGACAAGATGGTAGGGAGAGAGACCAAATCAGTGTTTTCTAGGACCTGAGAAGGGTGACGGGTGGGGGTGAGGTGGAGGAATTATTAAAAGGGCATAATGAAGGAATCTTTGGGATGATGAAAGAATTCATATCATAACTATAGTGGTAGACATACAACTCCGTGCACTTCTCAAAACCGAAAAAAACCTATACACAACAAACACTGAATCTTACTGTATGAAATTTTTAAAATAAAAGTTAAAAACCTAAAGCTCAGAGAGGTTAAGAATCTCACTCAAAGTAACACAGCCTGGACATGGTAGAGCAGCATTTGAACCCAGAGCTCTCATGGCTCTAAAGCCCATGGCACATCACCACCCATACTACCTCTGGATCCGTTCCTGTGGAGGCACAGACTTTCAATGACATTGATTTCTCTGTGCTCTCCAACTCTGCTCCAAAATGATTTACTGATTGACACTGAAGTGTGCTCACTAAAATTCTTTCTTGGTTGTCAGAAAAGAAATATTTTACTTTTGTACATGCAGAGCACTATCCTCAAATGTGAAAGTGGTACCTCTGTGTTGTTCTTCACACACCAGATTTGTATGGGAAAGGGGGATATATATGTATAGGTATAGTATGTATTTGTACACACACACAATTTGGCTGTAGCAAGAAACAGATCTGGAACACTTTGAAATACTTCATTACACTGTTTTAATGCACTTCATGAGAACACTTAAAACATATTATGTTTTTAATATTTACTTTTGCAAAAGAACATTGTATGTCTATGTAAAGTATAGTTATAAAACAGTTGGAAAGCCTCCCATGAAAGAAAGGTCTCCATATCTTTGTCTAAACTTAGACTATGACTCTCAGGAATTTAACCTACTTTTCTGCCTACAGCCTTTTCTTTAAATAATTTTGGGGGGGGTATCTTTGTTTTAATTTAATCCCTACTGTAGGCAGAAAGTAAGTAAACTAGGGAAAAGTGAAGGGTTACATTGTCATTGCTATTGCCCCTGTTTGACAAACAGTCACAAAGAAGAGCAAAAAAATTACTCTTCTAAAGTCATATGATCTCGGTGACAGAACTGGAAAGTGACCTCAGGCCTTCTTGCTATTTATCCTGGCCTCCCAACTGTCATAAATTTAACACTTTCTTCTCTTCTCTGAGACATACCCTGCTCAATTTTTAAAACTTCAATGTCATCTTTAGCAGTTTTATAATTGTTTACATAACATGTCCTGGGACTGTTTGCACAGCTGATGGCAACAATTTAATGAGAAGAATCTTTTGAAGGGAAAGCCCAACACTGAGCTGAGAAAAAAATCATTTCAAGAATGAGGTCTTGGTAACAAAGAGA